TACTGTGAATGCATGATTTTCATCATGTTTTATTCAATGCTATTTTACAGGGTAATACAAATGTAATTAATCAGCTTGAAAAACTAGAAATGACTAAAGATGTTCTTGAAAAAATGAATCTTAAGTTAGAAAGTGAAAACTTTGAGTTACGACTTGAGTTAGAAAGAGCGAATTCGGATACTCCGGGATTGCGAGAAAAAGTCGAACATTTAGAAAAGTATGTTCATGTTGTATATTTTTATATACTGTGAAAATATTGTAGATTGAGACAAACATAATATTATTATATTATTATTATTACAGATATATCCAATTGTTAAAAGCAGAAAAATCTTCTGATTCCACTCCTAGATCGTTAGAAAAAGAACTGTCAGAATCAAACAACAAAAAATCTATTTTTGAAATGGAAAAAACAATATTCACCTTGAAACGAATTATCGAGAAACTTCAGACAGAAAATAAAAGATTGAAATTTAATTCCAAGAAAACTCATCTTCTAGTTAATAAAGTAAATTGTACAATCCTTTCTTTGACATTATATTATAGCTTTCTTTTTTTTAATATTATATATGTTATTAAATATAGGGGAAAACAAATATTATTGAAAGAAGCACTCTATTCCAAAGACAATATGAAGAATCTCAGAAGCGTGTGATAAGTTTGGAGGCAGATTTACGATTAGCTGAACAAAGAGTATCTATGTTAGAAAATGCTCATAAGGAAGATGATAATGGAGATTTCCGAATCTTAAAACAACAATTGATTCATAAATCTGAACTTTTAAATAAAGTGAAACAATTGTTGACAAGGGCTGCTATAAATGAGAAGACTCTGCGGCAGCGTGTAAGAATTTAAATAGTTATTTTATTATTTAAAAGATAAAATAATTCAGAATTATTCACATTTTAATCTTGTTATTGTTATATTTTTATTAGGTGCAACAGCTAGAGTCAAAGCAAACTCTATCAGTAATACCAGAATGTTACGTGACTCCACCTACACCGCAATAATGAATATTTAAAAAATAAGCGATTTTAAATAAGCTGAGTTTGCAATGAAAAAAAAAACACTTTTATTAAGATATAAGGTACACATATTTTTATTTATATTCTTTCAATTAAACATTGTGAAGCCTTGTCTTCATTTTCATATAATTATGTTTTTTTTTATAACTAGTAATTTTATAATAATTTCATGTCGCACATACGATAATTACATCAATTTTTGTACGTGCAGGTGCACGATTTTCATCACAAATATTGATACAATATGTTCAAGAAATATTATTATCTCTTCTACATGTTCTATTCTTCATCTATTATTATCTCTTTTACATGTTCTCTTGAAATAATCAATAATAAAATTTTTTATTGATATCCTTACTTATTCCGTATTTCTTATATGTATAACAAAAAGTAAATTATTATAAAATTATAACTATTAAATATAAATTTAATTTTCTTAACCACAAGACAATTTGAATGACTAGATTGATTATATATATATATGTTTTTTTCGTTTTTACCTTCGTTTTTACCTCAGTCTGTTACTTTATAATATTATCTAATAAATATAATTCAAAATAAAAATAATTTAAACACTTAGAATATTTAATATAAGTAACGTTATATAAAATAATAAAATTTTAAAATTCTCTGTCGAACAAATATAAAATGGATTAGTATAATTAATTTACTTTGATTATTTCCATAAGTATATTAAAAAATATATCAAAATTTTTGATATATTACTAATAACTATTATGTGAAATAACGCGATATAAATAAAATATTTTCGCAATATTGAAGATATATGTATATAAACAAATTAGTATAAAATTATTCATTATTTTCTTTTTTCTAACATATATATTAAAATATTTGAATGTTATTTTAATTTTAAATAACTACTACGTGAAGTTGATAAGCTACAGATGAGTCAAGATTTCGAGAATCGAAACATTTCTTTAGATTTCGTCATTGTGAAACGTGTCGCGGTGATCGCAGTATCGCACTTCGTTCTATGATTTCCATTTGATGATATTATCGTTATATATGCGAAAAGTTATCGTAAATGTTTTCTACAGAGCGTCGAACGATGTTATAATCATTCTGGTGTTTATTATCGCGTAATTACTATATTACTGTTGTAATTTCGATATGCGATCCGTTTCTATGCATACAAAGATCAACGGAAGTTGAAGAGAGAACTTGTAAAGTAAAGCGAGATATTTGACTTTCTCAATTGAAGCTGAAATATCGCCAGGTATATATGTATCTTTATCTTTATATAATTAATTACGTCAATTGCTCTTTTTGCGATAATTTCGACCATTTCCGCTCTACTAAAATATCTCAAACTTTTTTACATTAATTATTATGACTTGAAGCGGAATTCGATCATCTTTTTCAATGGATATGATTTGTTTGTTCATATATGTACGTACACGCATATATATATATTTGTGCATAAATTAAAATATCCCAATTTATCCCGCGACAATAAATATTTAAGACCCGATTATGCATCAATGTTTTGACTTTAAACGAAAATTGAAATTCATTTTTTCTCTTTAAAGCCGAAAAAGAGATAGAGTTTTAAGTTTAAAGTTAAAACATTTTGATATCGTAATCATATGCCGTAAAAAATTACCTAATCACAATTGAATATGTTTCCTGTTTTTTACCTTTTGCTTTTTTCTCTTTTGCAACTGTTTTATCAATAATTGTATTTTTTGCTATGTATTTCTTGTTTCTTTCGAAATTTGTTAACTTTTATCTCGAGCGATATAAAAAATCAGATAAGAAGCAAAAAGACAAGTAAAAAATAACAAAAGGCAAGAAACAGGAAATATTGTAGAACAGGCTTAATGCTCCTTTAGATTGGTAAAGGGCGTAAATACTGCCATTCGTTTGCAATCTCGAGCACTTTCGATACTTCGATAATCGAATGTCGCTTCCTTCTCGATTGATTTCAAATTCGATTCGCATCGTTCACGGCAAGTAGCGCCACTCGCGCCTCGCGGGAAATGTGATGTAAAGATGGCGAAGTTGTGTTCAAATCCTGTATTTTTCGCATATTTTTCGTTACCCAAAAGAAGATCATTTCCGTCTAAAAGAAATCTCGCGCGCGAAAAGTTATCATCAATGTTAAACTTTCTCGAAAAAACGAATTAAATGTTATCGCATAATCGCTCTGCTGTTGCCTCGATTTCGGCTTTGACGATTCGCTTTCTACAATACTCTGCACACCTAGAAAAGATCGAGATTCTCGTATGTTTCATGCTGTCAGCTGTCGTTTGTTCATCGAAATAGCGTAACGAAAACGTGATTGTTATCACTCAGGTATTCTATAATTAACTATATATAATATTTCTTGCGTTCTTGTTAGTCAGTTGTATCAAAGATAATGTTCTCGAATTGCAGTTATAAAAGAATTTTTAATTAGATTTAAATAAGCTTGCTGTGCAAAAGATAAATCTATGTTTTTACAAGTACATTTTTTTATAAATCATATATAATTCCTTATATTATGACATCAATGCGATATCAATTCGTATTTAATTCGTATATAATTTTTCATACTTATTTTTTTATATTTCTGTCAAGTTAAATAATAGCACAATTATTTCACGATAATTTTAATTAATATAATTTAAATTATATATAATTAACACAACATAGTTTTCCAAATATTCGAAGAATGTCCCAGGTATGTATTACAGAATTATTTGAACTGAATTTCGATTAGAATTATTCAATTATTATGTTTTATAGACAAAATGGAATAATTCCGATTGGAATCCATTTCACATAATTCCATAATATGTGCCCTGAAGATTTATGTGTCCTGAAGACATTCTCAGAACTGAAGACATTCTCAGAGAACTATATTGTGTGGGATTTGATTAAATTTGAGCCTATAAACGTATGCTATTTTAACATTATGATGATCGCTACATAAGTTTTCTAATTATCACTCATTTCATCATTTAATTTTCCGTACAACTTTCCAACCAATTCCAAGCAAAATTGCCAACCAATTTTTTTAACTTTGAATAACTGAATATATTTTTGAGACATTAATCAAGTAGCGATGTTTTTTACGTACTAAACCTGATGTTTAAAGCAAAATATATTATATCTAATATAAATATCTTTATTTAATATCTGGATTTTGTTGGACGCACATTATTTGACAAAATATATGCTGAATTTCATTAGCTGTAATGTGTTATATTTCTTTAATTGAAACAATTTCATTGCACAGCAGCTGTAATGTGCACTAATCCAACTGAGATTTATAAATATATATATATATATTAATAAAAATATCTCGTTATAGAGCTTAATATATCAATTTTTAAGTTAACTTATTATGTTTCTAAATAATAGTAATAAAATATACAAGACTATTATGTATTATGTATTATGATAACATAATTTTGCAAACTTTATAAAAAATATTTCGAGTAAATGCTTTTATTGTAAATAATCAATTTACTTTATAATACTATAACAATTGTTTAAAAATGAGAAAAAATATGTTACAATAGTAAAAGATTTATAAAAATTTATTAAAAGCTTAAAATTTTAACAATATTCAATATATTTTATGATTAATGGATTAAATATTTAAAATTAGTTAATTGATATATTTATGGAAACATATCAATTTTAGTAGTTTGCAATGTTGAAAAATTTAGTTTTAAAAAATATTTTGTTATTTTAAAAGCATTAATATTTTCATACTTTCGAATTATATTCGATCATATACAGTAGCGTGCCTTCACAACTTTTGTGATGAAGATTGTAAATCTGCACACGTATTATCGATTATGATATACCTATTCTAGCGTATGCTAAAAATAATATAAGTTAAAATAATTTATGTCAAAATTCGCATTCCTACGGTATACAATTTGTTGCGCAGCTTAATATTATATAACGCGAAGATAAAAATACTGGAGAAAGCCGAAGAATTCCTATCGATTCCGAGAATTAATAATCATACTCTGCTACTTGAAGAAAAGGACGAATGGAATACTCGTCCTCGCAATCTGGAATGAGCTTTCCCTTATACTTCATGCAGAAGTCCGCGCACTTCTGACCCATGAAATACACGCCGAACATCTTTCTGCATTGCGCGCAGTTTCGTATGCAAACACCTATACAGAGCCAGTTTGTACAGACTAAAGTGATATATATGATATTTCGGCAACAATTTTTATACGATGACGTAATCGTAATATTGACATTTACTTACCAATATTTCGTTCGGCATTAGTAGATACCGTAAAGCAGAGAATGGCGAAAACCATGATAAGCAGTACCATTATTCGGTTTGATAAGCTTGGCATGACTGCAATAAATGTAAGCGTTATCTCTTTAACTGTGAAAGGATTAACAATTGAACATTGAATATACATTTAGCTGCAATTATTAATATATTGGCAATAAAAGGGAATACAATTTTCGGTGAATAAGGCTTCTGTGACATTATTATTTTGTGGAAATTAATATGGAAATATTCAATATATTAATATGGAAATAGTAAATCTAATCTGATATATTCCAATTGTTGTTAATATTAAAAAAAATTTTTTATAATAATGTGACATGTCTCACAGCTAAAGAGATATAAGCTTCCAAGATTTATTTGATTTAGATAAACAAATTTTTACATCCTGTAGGAATATCGTTCTATTTTAAATTTTCATTAGATTATGTAAAATCGCTTGTATTATATGAATATGAAAATGTATACAGGTATAAAAATATGTCAGTGTTACATAGAGTCAATTAATAGAAAAGAAAGTAACTGAATATAAGTAATGTCTTGTAATGTTTATACGATGGGATATTAAAACTATATTGAATAAACTCTATTCGAGCTGGCTTATATTAGCTAAATTAATAATCTTTAATCTAAAATCTGATCTATGACCTAAGATTTGATCATTAATAATTTATGATTGAAAGATCTTTAGTTAATGATTTAAATCATGTATTACTGCTGTGAATTCCGCATATAGTGTTTGCCGTTTTCGGGAAATATGATAAAACAAATACAGTATATATGTATATATTAAATGCTAATCTATTACTTTCTCTCTCTCTCTTTCTAATATTTGACATTATCTCTTCTTCTTTGCCTTATAGGGAAATAATAAAGTATCTATCTTATCTCCATTCGTTCTTTTTGAAATGTTGTAATTTGATTAAAACTTAAGATCAAAGGAAAAACTCATCGATCAGAACGAAGCTTCGGCGAAAGGCGGAAGAACGAGAGTAGAAGTTGGAGAGTTTTCTATTCGTTATTATCCATTTGCACTTACTTTACTAGGAAAAATATTTTGAAAAAAGAGTGTACTCAAAGATGCAAAAAACGTTCTCTTCACCATTTATACGCCGTTTTGCATTTCCAGTTTGCAATTAGTGTTCGCTCGGAAGGAAGGACAGAGAGGGAGATGACCGTAGTCGAACTCGATAAACTTTCAGGGATAACTCGGGTGTTAATAATCTCTCTCTCTCTCTCTCTCTCTCTCTCTCTCTCTCTCTCTCTCATTCTTTTTTTCCTGATAAAAGAATAAAAAATCCATTAAGTACGCGTGTTAATATTATACGCGATGTGCGATATGTTTTAGACTAGAGATCGTGAGACTCTCGTGAGGCCGCATATCGTCGGCTTGCGAAAATCCTGGTGCGTTGATGAGACAATGTTATAGCGCAATTATTCCTTTAATCACACGGAAACAATGTGCAGACGTGCTGTCTGCTGCGATACGTAGTCGTGACGCCACCGAAGGTTCCTCACCAGCTTTTTCTTCATGCTTCGTGCCTCTAGAGAGCAGCGTGTCGTCGCCACTTTTTAATATATACGGTCATTTATAACCGGAATCTCTTCATCGCGCTTCCGCGTTCGCCTTAACGGCCACATTGTGAACGCATAAACATAATAAATATGGATGGAAGGTATCTTGGCTTTCCGTGATGTCGTCAGCCTCTCTCTCTTGATCTCTTTCTCTCTCTTTTTCTGTCTCCCCCTCTTTCTTACCAGGAAGCACTTGAGGATTCAAGACCAAGGATCGCGTGAACAGCGTTTGATATCGTTAACGTACGTTACACGAACAATAACATTGACTGATTGGAGCAACTAATCGATCGACGACGCGGTGGATCTCTTTAGCACATCAAAAACGGATTGATAGATTTTGGCAAAAAACATTTTCTTATCACTCGTGCGAAAAAGAAGAGATAATTTTTTTAAAAATAAACGATACTTAAGAATATGATTTTCAAACTTTTACCTGATCGGTACGGCAGCTTGAGAAGGTGAAGCTGTTGGAATTGTTGCGGATATATAAAACCAACGAATGACACTGAATGGTCTTCGCCGGTCTTATATATCCGCAAACGGCGGATTCAACCCTCGCGCTAGGGAAACCCCCGCTGCTTATCTTCTTTTAATTTGATCTCTTTAATTTCCTGCACTCAACTGTAATATCTTATGCGTTTTTATGGAAGAAACGCATGTTTCTATATGTTACTATTAGCTTTTCCATTTAAAAATATTATTAAATGTGATATATTTTGTGCTGCTTTACGTACATTTTTATTTATATATATAACTTATATGATCCATCGTGATTCTAATATAAAATTTTGTGACATATGCTATAGAATTTCTTTAGGAGGTATAGTATTTAGGAGGTATATGTATTATAAACTAATTTTCTTATTTTATCGTTTTATTTTACCTTTTTAAATTATTTTTTACATTAATTTTTTTATTGTAGTTTTATTTGAATAAATACTGTATACCTTTACATTTTTTTAGATATACTTATAATATTTTATATTATTGCATTTTTATATTATGTTTCTTATTTTTATATTTTTAATTTATTTAAATTAATTAAAATTGACACAAATTGAAAGCATTATTACAGAATGTATTATTTATTTTTCATAATGCATCGCAATAATATAAAATATTATAAGTAATAGTAAATTAGATAATGTCATGTAGCAATTTAATTATAATAACACTATTATAATTAATTGTTTATTCTATTTAACGACAAACACATATAATAATAAGAATATAAATTTAACATGATTTAATTTATATACAGCCTTGGCCAAAAATATTAGGCATCTTGTTAATTGTTATTTAAAGTTTTAGTTTAAAAATTAATGTCTTAAGCTTCTTCTTTTGAATCTTCTGTTTCTTGTTCATTGTCTTTGTTTCTTTTACGAGGCGATTCGTATTCCAAACTCCAAAAGTTGTTATACTTAATCGGTATTGCTTCACCTTTTTCAATCATTTTGTTGAGATTTTCATCTAATCTAGAGAAATGATCCTTCTTTTCTAAAATTTTCGACAACGTTTTTTGAATATCTTCTCTGTTTCTCGATTCCTCCTTTTGTCTGTCTTCTTCGGCTGTAGAGTTGTCTTGCAATTGGTGTAAAACATCCTTTGTAAAGTAACGAGACAAGAATTCTTTTTCCGCGTCAACTGTATCAGATGATTCTTTATCGTTATCTTTTTCGAAAATATTCTTAAAGAAATCTTTATCATAGTCAGAATGAGGATCTTCATCAATTTCTTCGCTCTGTTTCTCTTCTTTCTTAGCATAGGAGTCAGTGTTTTCTTCTTTACTGTTTACTTCATCTGTATCGTCGGAAGCAATTCTGTGATCATCGTGATCTTCGTTCTTCACGAAATAATCTTGTGATTGTTCTTTTGGATCTGTGGCATACGTCTTGATCTCTTCAAATTCTTCAGTACGATCAGAATTTTCGTTATGTTCTTCTGGATCTGTAGTATATGTTTCAATTTCTTTAGAATTTTTGGTACGATCGGGATTTTCCTTATAATTATATTCCGATTCTTTATCGCTGTCCTTTCCGAAAACATGCTTAAAGAAATCTTTATCATTATAAGGAGGATCCTTATCGACTATTTCACTTTCTTTTGCTTCTTTTTTCTCGTAAGAATCAGTTTCCTCTTTTGTCTTGTCTCTATCATTAAAAGTGTCATCATGGAAATCATCGTTCTTCGTGAAATAATTATACGATTGTTCTTTTGGATCCGTTTCGATCTCTTCAGACGTTTCGGTACGATCAGGATTTTCCTTATGATCATATTTCTTGCTGAAGACAGCTCGTATACTTTCCAATATAGGATCTTTAAGGAACTCGTCCCAATTAATCGGTTTTTTATACTCATCAAAGTCAATGAAATCTGAATTTTCATTTTCCTCTTCTGCGGAATGGTGAATGTCATCAGTAACATCCTCGGTATTATTGCGCAATTTGGTGTCTTCGACATCGTAATTGTCAACGCATTCGGCAGAATTTTTATTTTCCGTGCAACTTAGACGCGAGTGATTTGCGTTCAATGAGGTTTCCAGCCCGTCACTTTCAGTCTGTACTACCTTAATTTTAGCACTTGGAGATTTTGAAGAGAAATCATCAGCATCATGGAGCTGTTTAGGAATCATAATATAATCATAATCGTTATCATATTCGTTGTATCTCACTGGAGTTATACTCTGATTGTTTTTATCTAAACTCTTCTCCTGTTGATCGGAATAATCTGGTACTTCCACATAGGGTATATTTGAAGGATCATAATTCGGAATTGTGCCTGTCGAATTTTCTACACGTTTCACTTGATTCTTTTCTTGCAAGGGTTTCTCGACAGTACTCTCGGTTGGCAAGAATGATGATGTAGTGAAACTCTCTTCAGAAGAATATGGCGAACCTGGTTCGGAAATAATTTCCTGTGATGAATTACGCATTTCATTGGTGTATTCCGTCGAATTATCTAAAGACGAATAATCAACACTTTCAACTTTATCGGGAAATTTATTCAAATCGTCCACTTCAGAAGCGCTGGTTGCAAGTGATGATAAAATCGGATTATTATTTAATTTTGCTAGATCCTCAACTGGAATCTGATTAGGTTGCCATTGGATTTTATTTGCAATGTTCCAAAAGCCCGATATATAAGGACCAGAATCAGATATTTCTGACAAATTTATATCCGTAATATTGAGTGGTATTTTATTATTCGTCGCTTGCACCTGCTTATCTTCTTTGTAATTAACCGTTTCTTCTTGGATGCACGGAGTTGAAGCCGCATTACTTTCCGGAATATTCGCATTTCGTTTAGAACGAGCCTTTTCGTTTCTAATTGATTGAGTTGCGTTGATTATATCCCAGATGCGTTTATAAAAATCACGTTCTGGTTTAATGTTGGCACTCGTTACTTGTGACTTATCTTCCTGTGATTGCGAGGCTGTAATTCGATCTTTATCAATGCATGTTGAATTATCTGAATTATTTTCTAAGGAATTGTAACCACTAATAATATCGGTATGAGGACGAGTACCGTTAATATATTCCCAAATACGTTTGTAAAACACAGTACTTGGTATCGCTACATTATTCGCTGTTTTAAGATCAGTTGCATTTTTGTTTCGTAGTGGTTTTTTTGTTGAAAGAGTTCTTTTTGATTTAAATTGTTTTCGATAATTGGGATTTGAATGACGAGATTTTTTATTTGAAATGATAGTTTTTTCCCGAACATTCTGCGAATTATTTTCTGATTTGTAAGATGAACGTTTTGAACGTTTGTTACCAATTATTTTCTGAATACTTTTTGCTGCTTTTAACATTTGCGCACTATTTTGTCGTTTTTGTCGAATGGCTTCGACAATTGTTGTAATCTTGATGATTTCCATATCAGGATCAGATAAATCTACATTTTTATTTTGATTATTCATGAGATGGAATGTCGGTGACATAATTTGTTTATTTAGAAATTTTTCTTGCTGCTGGAGTAATTTCTGAGGCATTTTTAAGTGTTGAGTGTGTTTTTTCCATCCAATAGAATTCGGGTATATCCACCAAGGTTTGCTCAACTTCTTTTCTGAACTGATTGCTGTATTTTTTCCCATGGATTTTAATTTACGATTGAATTTATTGATATATGCATGCTGTAATGTGGGTTTAATCTCAGATGCAGCTTGCGTAGATTTCATTATGATATCCTGGAAATAATCAATTAACAGATATTATAAATAAATATTATAACATTAGATTGAATTGCTGATTAAACGTTACTTAAAATAATATAATTTTAATAATATTATAAAAAGCAAATATTCATTATAATAATATAATTATTCTGTACACAATAATCGTATTATTATACAAAATAATTAGCAAAAATATTAAAAATGCATTTAGGCAGATACTTAATAGAAAGATGTACTTACATTAATATTTTGTGAAAACAGTGAGGAATAAATGATTATATTATGTGGTTCCGTATCTTGGATCATTAAATGTGCCCGTGCATTATATGTATACTATCGTGTAAATTGTGCCATTATACATGATATATTTTACAGATTATAATGAAACTAATTTCAACAGATCGTTAAATGTGCAATACTCTATGATACGTTGTGAGCTTCTTTATCGATTCACATGTAATTTCTACTAGGCAGATTAAGAGTAATACATATAAATAAAGACTTATTAAATGGCATTCTTATGAAATTCGACTTTTATTTGTAATTATGTACAAAAAGTACAATATAAATGGTAACTGTCATCATAGTAGCGCAGAAAATATGTTTTGATTGTAAATTTATTTAACAAATGGAGAGTAAAAAGTATCAACTCCGTACAAATTTCTGAGCCACTACGTATGAATATTTACATTTTGCTTATTACAATAATAATGCTTGAAGCAATAATCAATCATCATACAAAAATATATCATATTTTTCATTAATATTTGTATGTAATTCCACTGTCGTGGAATTGTCAGTACTCTTGACTAATAAATATTAAATTTTATTCCACTTTGATTAAGCAAACGTACATGTGCTCTCATAATAACATTGCATTAACGCGTTAAAAAAAAAACTGTCATTCTTAAGAAACTTTCATACGCAGTACATAAAAATCACATATGTTAAAATTACTACTACTAAGTGTAGTTTGCAACAATAGAAAAATAATGTTTGATCATCAATAAACTCAGTTTTCTGATAGAAATCTAATACTGGCCAATTACTGAAAGACAGTAATTAATTATTTATTTGGAATACTAAAAGCACTGAACAACAGTATCAATACTTAAAATAAATAATTATTTGCTTTCAATATTAAGTTGTTTAGTATTGCATTTCTATCAGAGTCATTGTTGTTGAAATAGATATTCCGCGCGAAACGTTACTTCAATTTTCATATTATCACTTTATAAAAGAGTATTCTGTATTGTAAACGAGTACTCTAATAATCATTTTATTATAGACAGAAATATCTAAATTA